TTGACCCAGCACCTAAAACAATGCTTGTCAAAAGACTCCTCTTAGGTCAGCCCACAAGAGCGCTTCTGAAAATCTCTAAAATTGCAAGCAAAATTCTATGTGCATTCAGGAAACAGGCTGTGACTTTTGTCAGATTTTCAGAGGTCTAAGAGCTGAAAGAACCTTTTCCCAAGATACTGAAGGAGCTTCAAATAGCACTGCTAACACAGACTTCCGCTGTGGAAAACCATGCCCCTCTGGAATCCAAGTTCCCAGAGGGCAAGAATCAAGGACCTTTACCTATTTTTTCTTCTTTCCATTTTTTTTTTTTTTTTTTTTTTTTTGAGACAGGGTCTTGTTCTGTTGCCCAGGCTAGAGTGCAGTTTTGTGACCATGGCTCACTGCAGCTTCAAACTCCTGGGCTCAAGCAATCTTCCCACCTCAGCCTCCTGAATAGCTGGTACCACAGGCATATGCCACTATGCCCAGCTAATTTATTTTTGGTAGAGATTGCGTCTCACTATTTTGCCCAGGCTGGTCTCAAACTCCTGGGCTCAAGCAGTCCTCCCACCTCAGACTCCCAAAGTGCTGGGATTACAGATGTGAGCATTGTGCCTGGCCTCTTTACCTGTGCTGTTAATTGATGTATTCCAAGGGTCTAAAATGGTGCCTGGCACATTCTTGGTGTAGGTGTAAAATGACTAAGTATAGTCTTAGACAACTGTAAGAGTTGGTTATCTGTTACTGAGTAACAAATTATCCCAAGATATAGTGGCTTAAAACTACATGTATTATCTCAGTTTGTCTAGGTCAGGAGACAGGGTGCAGCCTAACTGTGTGTTCTCAGAGTCTCTTACAAGCCTGCAAAGCATCGGCCAGGGTTGCAGTCATCTGAAAGCTCAGGTGGGGAAGGATCTGCCTCCAAGCTCACTCATGTGGTGAGTGCTTCAGTTCCTCGCTGGCTGGAGGCTCCCCTCAGTTCCTTACCAAGTTCCTTACCACCATGTGGGCCTCTTGAGAGGTCAGCTCACAACATGGATGCTTGCTAGCTTGCTTCGTCAGGGTAAACAGGAGGGAAGAACAAGACAGTGAGAGAGGGAGAGAGAGAGAATGAGAGGAAGATCAAGAGAGGGAAACCACCAAGACAGACATTACACTCCTTTGTAATTTAATCTTAGAAGTAGCATCCCATTACCCTTGCTGTGTTCTGTTTATGAGAAACAAGTCTCTAGGTCTCGTACACACTCAGGGAGAGGATTATACGCAGGCATGAATACCAGGAAGAAGGGATCACTGGAGGCCCCAGTGATCTTCCAGGCTGCCTACCACAAAACATTTACGGCATGTTTTCTCATAGAGCATCCAGTTCATCTGGGCACCCAGAACAGAAGGTACACACCAAATGCCTACAGGTCAAGCAGATGATGACAGGGAGGGAAGACACCAGCGGTGGGAGGTTTGGCAGACAATTCAGCCTCTGCCCATCTTCCATCAGGCTGACGCCAAGCAGGAATGCAGGTCAGCTGTTGTCAGATCTTCCAAATTTTCTTTTTTTGGTTTCTGAGACAGAATTTCACTCTTGTCACCCAGGCTGGAGTGCAGTGGTGCGATCTCTGCTCATTGCAACCTCTGCCTCCAGGGTTCAAGCCATTCTCCTGCCTCAACCTCCCAAGTAGCTGGGATTAAGGTACACGCCACCATGCCTGGCTAATTTTTGTATTTTTAGTAGAGATGGGGTTTCACCATGTTGGTCAGGCTGGTCTCAAACTCCTGACCTCGGGTAATCCACCTGCCTCAGCCTCCCAAAGTGCTGGGATTAAAGGTATGAGCCACGGCTCCCAGCCCAAAATTTCAAAAGAAGCCAATGTTCTAATTTTTTGGGACATTTTCTGATTTTTAAAACTGATAAGCAAAAATACACCTGAGGGCTAGCAGTTTATGACTCCTCCCTATGGCAGAAAGTACCTACTTCATTGTTTTGTTTTGTTTTGTTTGACAGGGTCTCTCTGTCTCCCAAGCTGGAGTACAGTGGCGCAGTCTCAGTTTACTATAACCTCTGCCTCCCAGATTCAAGTGATTCTTATGCCTCAGCCTCCCGAGTAGCTGGGATTACAGGTGTGCACCACCAGCCCAGCTAATTTTTTTTTTTTTTTAGACGGAGTTTCACTCTTGTTCCCCTGGCTAGAGTGCAATGACAAGATCTCGGCTCACTGCAACCTCTGCCTCCCAGGTTCAAGTGATTCTCCTGTCTCAACCTCCTGAGTAGCTGGGATTACAGGTGGCCACCACCACGCCCAGCTAATTTTTGGATTTTTAATAGAGATGGAGTTTTATCATGTTGGCCAAGCTGGTCTCAAACTCCTGACCTCAAGCGACCCACCCACCTCAGTCTCCCAAAGTGCTGAGATTACAGGCATGAGCCACCACACCCAGCCCAATTTTTGTATTTTTAGTAGAGATGGGGTTTTACCATGTTGGCCAGGCTGGTCTCAAACTCCTGGCCTCAAGTGATCCACCCACCTTGACCTCCCAAAGTGCTGGGATAGGTGTAACCACGATGCCCGGTCAGCCTAATTGTTTGTTTGTTTTTTTGTTTGTTTTTTTTTTTTGAGACAGAGTTTCACTCATGTTACCCAGGCTGGAGTGCAATGGCGCGATCTCGGCTCACCGCAACCTCCGCCTCCTGGGTTCAGGCAATTCTCCTGCCTCAGCCTCCTGAGTAGCTGGGATTACAGGCACGCGCCACCATGCCCAGCTAATTTTTTGTATTTTTAGTAGAGACGGGGTTTCACCATGTTGACCAGGATGGTCTCGATCTCTTGACCTCGTGATCCACCTGCCTCGGCCTCCCAAAGTGCTGGGCCTAATTGTTATTTCTTATACCCTTTTATGTGTGTTCCAGCCCTTTTGCTGTCCACTCCACCCCCACCCTGCTTGCTCATAGAGGGTAGGGATCTAACTAATTCACTTTGAGCACTTTCCAGAGCTCTTCGCACGTAGCAGACCAATAATAAATACTGTTGAGTGAAATATGAAACTCGACACATCTCTCACTAGGGACCATTCCTCCCAGTCCTAGAGCAGTGGTTAAAAGTGGCCTCTGGTGTCTAAGTTAGAATTCTGGCTCCACCACTTGCAGGCTACACAACTTTAGGCAAGTTACTAGCTTTTGAGAGCCTCAGCCTCTTCACCTGGGAACAATCGTAGCTGCCTTAAAGTTGTTAGAAGAATTAGCTGAAATAATACATGTGAAGAATTTAGTACAGAGCTGAGCATACAATAGCAACTCAATAAATTATTTACTTTCTCTCACATCATCGCCCTTCTCTGCCCTCCGGCTTCCTGCCTCATCACCCTTTAGTCCCTTATCTACCTTCTTCTACCCCCGTCTACCTGGCTGGCAGCTCGAGTGAGCCACCAAAATGCAAGCTTGTCATTGTCACTGAACGATTAAAACCCTTCAATAGTTTGCTGTTGCCCTCAGTAGGAGAAAATCCAAACTCCTTAACACAGCTCACCAAGCTCTTTTGGAGCTAAGTCTGCCCAGCCTCCAAGCCTCTTCACTTCTCTTCACACTCAGCACTCCAGCCACACTGAAGCTGAAGCTCTCCTTTCTGGAAGGCTCCACCTCCACACTTAAAGCCACTTCAACAAAGCCTTTGCAAGTGCCATTGCCTCCAGCTGGAACCTCTCATCCCCACTTCTACCACCCCTGCTAGATGTTCCAACTCTGTGCTAACAGAGAATTCTTGATGTTTCTTGCTAAGCCTGAGGGCATGCACAATACCGATTTTCCTCACCTGTCCTCTCTTCCAATAGGCAAAGGATAAAATGTGTGAAATTGTCCGCAGCAGCGCTGACCATGAGCAGACAGCGCCACCTGTTGACCAAAATCTGCACTTCAGTACCTAAGAGGAGCAACGTTTTCCACTACATCTGTCATCTTCACCTCCCACCAAACTTAGCAATGAAAAAAAAGCTAGTGTTACTGCATACTGAATGTGTGCTAGGCACTCTCCTAAGTGCTCTGGTTATTAACACGTTTAATTTTTGCAACTGCCTAAAAGGTAGGTAAGCTTACTGCCATTTTACGATGGGGTAATTGAGGCACAGGGCAGTTAAAATGCCTCACCCAAGATCACACTACTAGAAAATTTCAGTAGAAACTCAGTTACGTAGTCTGGCTTGAACCTGCACTCACAGGCCCCAAACTCACTGCCTCTATTCTATCTCCTTTATGCCAATGACCTAGATACATCCCAGACACTTTCACCAGGAAGGCCAACTTTGAAGGTACTACTGTCACAGTGGCACTGGTGTCAACCACAGTCCCATCTGGAGACCTACACATTCTGAAAACCGCTCAGTCCTCTGAAGATGCTCCTCGGTGAGACAGCAAACACAGTCGCAGGCGGGTCTGGCCACTATATTATTGCTGTACTTGTGTGACCTCAAGCAAGCAACATGCTTCTTAAATCCTCAGCTTCGTCATCTGTAAAACAGGGATAGTCAAAGGGCTAACCGTGTTTGACTAACCCTGTTTTACAGATGAAGAAGCAAAAGCACGCAAAAAGGACAGGTTCAGGGCCACAAAAAACAGCAGAAAGCAGGCAAACCGAAGCTGTCTCCCTTTTTTTTTTTTTTTTTGTTAATAGTCTTGCTCTGTCACCCAGGTTGGAGTACAGTAGGACAATCTCGACTCAGGCAACCTCCGCCTCTGGGGTTCAGGCAATTTTCCTGCCTCAGCCTCCTAAGTAGCTGGGATTACAGGCACATGCCACTACACCCAGCTAATTTTTGTATTTCTAGCAAAGATGGGGTTTTGCCATGTTGGCCAGGTTGGTCCTGAACTCCTGACCTCAAGTGATCATCCCTGCCTCAAGCCTCCCAAAGTGCTGATTACAGGGCGAGCAACCACGCCCGGCCTGTCTTACTCTTAAAATACTACATGAGTCTCCCCTCTGCTTGTAGAGGTTTTGTTTTCTTTACTCTCAAATGCCAAGCACACGGCTTTGCACATAGTAGGTGTCAACAAAGTTGTTTTAATATATATATATATATACACACACACACACACACATACATACACATACAGTCACATTCCAGTGTGACAAATACTCCTTCACCAGGAGAAAGCACTACCACTCTGGGATCTTGAAGACTCTACCGAGAGCTTAGGCCTGGCAGTCTTCACAGATCACACCCAACAGGGAGCATTTTTATTCAAGTGGGAGGGGTGGGATGTAGCCCAGGGTGTATACTGACTGAGACCTCATGCGGGCCCAGAGCTCTGCTGCACCCTCTTCATCAGCTCTTCATCCTGCATAGACAACTCTGTCAACTTTTTGCCCATCCGCTCATGGATGTCCAGGTACTTAGACACACATCGGTCCAGGCACACAGATTCGCCCTTGGACAGCTCTGCTTCCTTGTAGTGAGGAGGCACACACTTCCGGTGGCAGGCACTGGTCATTCTGGAGGGAGGGAGGGGCAAGGTCATGTCAGCAGCATCCTGTGACATCCCAGGAACCCTCGACCATCCCAGCCCTGCTATATTGATTTCACCTTCCCCAAGAAAGCACTATAAATCCTGAGTTTCCACCTCAACCACTGGAAGCTCCTTGCAAGTAGGAAACTTGTCTGAACCCCTGTATATGACTAATGAAGCAGAAGCCATTTGTTGAGGACTGGCTATATGCTAGGCATCACGCTAAGTGCTTTACATGCATTCTGTTATGCAATCCATACAATAACCCTAAGAGATACTTATCCCTATTTTACAGATGAGGAAATTAAAGCAAAGAGAGGCTCGGTAATTTTCTAAGAATCACATAGAGCTGGAATATGAACACAGATCATCTGGCCTCACAGCCTACACTTAAAAATCCTTCCTAATTTATAGCCTTCAGGGTAAACCAACCAATCAAGAGAGGTTAAGTCAATAAAAATAGCAGACACTTCGCTGTTGCTAAGTGTTGGGTTTGAGGCTAAGAGCTTTCATATATTTTTAGAGGTAATATATATGATACCCTATGAGGTAGGTATCATTATGTCTTTTTCATAATGAGGAAACCAATTGTCAAACAGTGCAAGTAACGTGTCCAAGAACACTGCTGGTGATTGGTGGAGCTGGGATTTGTTCCCAAATTTGCCAAATGATTATGAGCACTAGTTGCAGAATCAGACTGAGGTACTAGTTCTGGTGTTGTTACTGACCAGCTGCGGACCCCGAGGAAGTTACTTAACTTCTAGAAGCATCAATTTCCTCATTTTAAGATGGGACTAATAAAATTAACCCACTGGATTATTTTGAAGATTAACAAGTGACTGACAAAGAATAAAGGGTTTTTTGGTTTTTTTTTGAGACGGAGTTTTGCTCTTGTTGTCCAGGCTGGAGTGCAGTGGCACGATCTCAGCTCACTACAACCTCCGTCTTCTGGGTGCAAGTGATTCTCCTGCCTCAGTCTCCCTAGTAGCTGGGATTACAGGCGCCCGCCACCATGCCCGGATAATTTTTGTATTTTTAGTAGAGACCGGATTGCGCCATGTTGGCGAGATGTCTGAACTCCTGACCTCATGATCCGCCCACCTCAGCCTCCCAAAGTGCTGGGATTACAGGCATGAGCCACTGCCTCGGCCAAGGGTTTTAAAATGTTAACTACTAAATGGGCTGGCTATGTGCTATCTGCCAAAAAGCAAATACTCAGCTTTTCTTGGAACCTAACCAGAGCCTGGATTGGAGTTTCTCTTCCTGCTCGGCTCCCGCATCTCCAGTTCTATCCCCATCTAAATATTCTAGTGACCCTTTACTGCATCTGCATTAGAATCAACCTTGAAGGTGGGTATGGAGAGGGTAAGCATGGGCCTCCCGCTCCCCTACATTCAGGATGGAATTTGTTATAAGTCATTCACCTTCGATAAGGGTGACCAAGGCTTATTTTCCAAGACAGTGTAGCACATGGTTCTCTTTACCTGTTGTACATATCGGCCATCATCTCCACCTCCAGCTCTGCAGCCAGCTGTTGGGCCCTGAGCGGATCCATCTCGGCCTAGCACCCTGGAAGGGATCTCCTTCTGGCCTCCTAATCCTGGGAGGAGACATCACCATCATTACCCACTGCCGCCGTTCACTCTCCTACCCCGGGGCTAGAAGATACAAAAGACTCACAGGGCGCCAGACCACCAGGGGCCACTGACCTCAGTGAGCTTAACCACCCCATTTCACGGATGTGGAAACTGAGGCCTAGCCCAAGGTCGCACGGGACATCCATGGCGAGCCTGGAAATCGAGCCCCGGATCTCTGATACCCAAGTCCCTAGAGGTCATCTCTATTCAGAAGATCGAGGACCGGGTCAGAACGCTCTAACCCAGGCCTGAACCTCCAGGGCCCTGGGAATGAGATCATATGCTGAACAGAGGAGACCGGGACCCGGCCCAAAGGCTGCAGTTCTGAAATGGCGACGCCATCATCAGGGACACATTGAATTCTGAGGTCACGGATCACTCACCACTACCTGGGACGGATCACAATGCCCACGGAGAACCCAGCTTCTCACAAACACTATAACGTTACCCGCCTCCCAAGAAGGCTCCAGCGGAAGCACGTGGGTTACTTCCGGGAGAGAAGTCCCGCCTCTTCTTTGCTCCAAAATCGCTTCCGGAATGAAATACCAACGAGGCGGCTCCGGGAACTCGGCGATCTTAGAAAGGGAGCGAGCGGCGCTGCGCGAAGAGGAAGGCGATTTGCCAGTGCTAGAGGGGACGCCAAAGTACCATAGAGGCTTGGGCGGGGTGCAGAGCGCCTGCGGCCCGATCGGAATTCAAGTCCCTTAGGTTGTCACCGAGAGTTTTCAGTTTATTGGTTCTGTAGGAAGAGGCGTGGCGACAGATATCAGTGAACCTCACCCCCGTCCGGGACAGCCGCAAATCAGGCATGGAAACGGAAGAACACCCCCAACAGCCGTTCTCAGTTTTTGTTTCGCGTTAAAATCACCTGGAACGCTTTTAAAAATCCCCGTGCCCACGACTCACCTCATTTCAATTAAATCAGAATCTCTGGGAGTAGGACCCAGGTATCAGTACAATTTGAAATTCCCCAGGTGATTCGTTTGTACAGCCAAATTTGAGAAGCAGTGCTCCATAGGACGTTGTGCGATTACTGCTGTGTGTAGATCACACTAACCCCTTCTGGGGTTGCAAAGATAAGCGAGATACGGTTCCTGCTTGCAGAAAGAGGAGACGTGTGAAATATGTTTTCTTCAACAGTTAGAGGCCCTGAGCCATAAAGAGATTAATAAACGCAATTTAGGCTGCCACCAGGACTAATCTTGGGTGAGGGAGAAGGAGGGTACTGGTGAACTTCTCATCTTTCAAGACAATGTGTTCTTCAAACTGCACCATTCGCTCATTACCCACTAAAAAGAAGGAAACAACACTCAGTCCCTTGATTTGTCACACAATTTCCTAGTAAAATAAATTTACAAGCTGTAAATTAATGACTCAAGGGTACATTGCCCATTGGAAAAGGTGGGCTAGACATTTGATATGTGTGGGTTGTCACATGCTTCTCTAATTGTCCAGGACCATCCTGATTTTAAACAATTGACCTTCCTACTGCTCTGAAGTCTCATCTTTGTCAAACCTTGTGTCCCGATTTTTTAAGATTGAGGTATAACACTCATAAAGTGCATAAAATACACAACTCTTAAGTTTAATTCTATATATATACACATTCATATAACCACCGCACAGATCAGGATATACTTCCTGTACCCCAAAAAGTTATCTTGTGTTCCTTCCCCATCAATACTTCCTCTCAAAGTTAACCACTATTCTGACCTGTATCATCATCAATTAGTTTTCCCTGTTCTTGAACTTCAGGTAAATGGAATTTTTTTTTTTTTTTAAAGACGGGGTTTCACCATATTGGTCAGGCTGGTCTTGAACTCCCGACCTCAGGTGATCTGCCCACCTTGGCCTCCAAAGTGCTTGGATTACAGGCGTGAGCCACCGCGCCCAGCCAGGTAAATGGAATTATACATTAGTTTCTATTTTGTGCCTGACTTCTTTTATTTATTTATTTATTTTGAGATGCAGTCTCACTCTCGTTGCCAGGCTGGAGTGCAACGGCGCGATCTTGGCTCACTGCAACCCCCATCTCCCCGGTTCAAGCAATTCTCCTGCCTCAGCCTCCTGAGTAGCTGGGACTACAGGCGCGTGCCACCACGCCCAGCTAATTTTTGTATTTTTAGTAAAGACGGGGTTTCACCATGTTGGCCAGGATAGTCTCGATCTCTTGACCTCCTCATGATCCACCCGTCTCGGCCTCCCAAAGTGCTGGGATTACAGGCATGAGCCACCCCACCCGGCCTGTGCCTGACTTCTTTAGCTCAATTTACCTGTAAGATTTCTTCCATTTTGTTGTGTGTATCTGTTATTCCTTCTGTTTTATTGCTGTCTAGTGTTTGATTGTATGAATATGCCACAATTCATTTATCCATTCTCCTGTTGATGGATGTTTGGATTGTTTCCAGTTTTTGCCTATTATGCAATAATGCTGCTGTCATACTCTTGTACAGATGGACATATCTTGCATTGATTTTTGCTTTTGAAAATATAGTAAACACTGGCCAGGTGCGGTGGCTCACAACTGTAATCCCAGCACTTTGGGAGGCTGAGGCGGGTGGATCATCTGAGGTCAGGAGTTCAAGACCAGCCTGGCCAACATGGTGAAACCCCATCTCTACTAAAAATAAGAAAAATTAGCCAGGTGTGATGGCGGGCACCTTTAATCTCAGCTACTTAGGAGGCTAAGGCAGTAGAATCACTTGAACCGGGGAGGCAGAGGTTGCAGTGAGCCAAGATCGTGCCATTGCACTCCAGCCTGGGCAACAAGAGTGAAATTCCAACTAAAAAAAAAAAAGAAAAAGAAAATATAGTCAACATTATGTTTCCCAGGCTGGTCTCAAACTCCTGGACTCAAACAATACTCCTGTCTTGGCTTCCCAAAGTGATTATAGGCATGAGTCATTCCATGCCCAGCTGGAAATATTTAAAACATATGGAAAAGCAGAGAGAACAGGACATTGAACTTCCGTATATTCATCCCCAGAACTTAGCAGTTGTTAACATTTGTCCATATTTTCTTCGTCCATTTTTATTTCTAACAGATAAATCCTTTTTATTATTTATTTATTTATTTATTTATTTTTTGAGACAGGGTCTCACTCTGTCGCTCAGGCTGGAGTGCAGAGGCCTAGTCATAGCTCACCGTTACCTTACACTCCTGGGCTCAAGCAATCCTCCCATCTCAGCCTCCTGAATAGCTAGGGCTATAGGCATAAGCCACCATGCCTGTCTGGTTTTTAAATTTTTTTTGTAGAAATAAGGTCTTGCTATGTTGTCCGGGCTCGTTTCAAGCTCCTGGCCTCAAGCAATCCTCCTGCCTTGGTCTCCCAAAGCGCTGGCATTACAGGCGTCACCACACTGGGCCTTGCTTAACACTTTTATTTTGAGACGGAGTCTTACTCTTTCTCCAGGCTGGAGTGCAGTGGCACAATCTCGGCTCACTGCACCTCTGCCTCCTGGATTCAAGAGATTCTCTTGCCTCAGCCTCCTGAGTAGCTGGGACTGCAGGCGCATGCCATCATGCCCAGCTAATTTCTGTATTTTTAGTAGAGACAGGGTTTCACCATGTTAGCCAGGATGGTATCAATCTCCTGACCTCATGATCTACCTGCCTCAGCCTCCTCCCAAAGTGCTAGGGTTACAGGCATGAGCCACAGTGCACGGCAACAAATGTTTAAGTGCATAATACAGTATTTTTAACTACATGTACCATATTGTACACAGATCTCTAGAACTCATTCATCTTGTGTAAGTGAAATTTTATTTATTTATTTATTTAAAAAAAATTTTTTTTTTTGAGACAGAGTTTCACTCTTGTTACCCAGGCTGGAGTGCAATGGCGTGATCTCGGCTCACCGCAACCTCCGCCTCCTGGGTTCAGGCAATTCTCCTGCCTCAGCCTCCTGAGTAGCTGAGATTACAGGCACGTGCCACCATGCCCAGCTAATGTTTTGTATTTTTAGTAGAGACAGGGTTTCACCATGTTGACCAGGATGGCCTCGATCTCTTGACCTCGTGATCCACCCGCCTCGGCCTCCCAAAGTGCTGGGATTACAGGCTTGAGCCACCACGCCTGGCCAGTAAGTGAAATTTTATACCCATCGAATAGCAGCTCCCCATTTCCCCAACCGTTCAGCCTCTGGACAACCATTGTCGTACTGATGATAATGCTATTGTTATTTTTATAGTTATTTACTATGCGACTGTGTCTTTCCTCTATGTGGAGACCTAGGGATAGGAATCTCTGATGGTCCCAGTTGAGTTGTTGCTTTTTATTTTATTTTTTCTTGAGATGGAGTTTTGCTCTTATTGCCCAGGTTGGAGAGCAGTGGTGCAATCTCAGCTCACCGCAACCTCTGCCTCCCAGGTTCAAGAGATCTTCTGCCTCAGTCTCCCAAGTAGCTGGGATTACAGGCATGCGCCACCACGCCCGGCTAATTTTTTATTTTTGGTAGAGACAGGGTTTCTCCATGTTGGTCAGGCTGGTCTCAAACTCCCGACCTCAGGTGATCTGTCCGCCTCGGCCTCCCAAAGTGCTGGGATCACAGTGTGAGCCAGTGCGCCTGGCCTGACTTGCTTCTTGTAGAAGACAGCTTAGCCTTAGACTGTGAAGATATCCTTAGACCTCCAGATATGTCATCCAAAACTGCTGATCTCTCAACACCATGCTGCAATTCTGGCTCCTCTTTCTACCTTGCATTCTACCGCTTCCCAGCTTCACAAAGGTGAGTTGTATATTTGTCATTCATCTTGGGTCAGTATTGTTTTCTCAGATGGGACCCAGCCCCAGAGGAGATGCAGAGTTTTCACCGAGAATCACTTCCAGTTGGCCCTGACCACTCATGAGAGGTGCAGAGAATACAAAAACAGGCTTCCTGTGACCTCCCTTGTGATGGAATGGCTTCCGTCATTCTATTCACTTAAAGAAAAAGCTGGCCCTGGCTTTATCACTGCCTGCAGTTTCCCTGTTTCACTGTCTGCACTCTCACTGTTTCCCACCACTTCTTTTCACTTCCACGGCTGACGCTGGTCCAAGCCACCACCATCGTGCACCTGGGTCACTGAGTTTGTCTCCTGACTGCTCTCCCCCGTTATCTCCATGCTTCCCCTTTGCTCTATTCTCAAAACAGCAACCACCCAGAGTGTACCTGCCCAAGACTGGCGAGTTCTTCCACATCTCCGTCTGGCTTGCTGGGCTTTTTTTGGTTTAAATTCATTTCTCTTGCCCTGCTGTCATTAGATATTGAAAAGAGCAAAATAGGCCAGGCGTGGTGGCTCACGCCTATAATCCCAGCCGGGTTTTGGGTATTACTAGAGGCAGCCGGCAACCATTAAAATTGGACTGTTCGATCACAAGTACCCAAACCCGGATGCACAAAATGATCTCTCTTTCAGATCATCCCACGCAAGTCCTCCAAGTTCCTATCACATACTTCTTGTCTTTTCTTTTTTTCTTTTTGAGACGAAGTCTTGCTCTGCTGCCCAGGCTGGAGTGCAGT